AGTTTTATCGGGGTTTCTACGGGCAAAGACCACCAGGAAAACAAAACCTGACACGTTCAGAATAGTTGAGGCTTCTCGGTACTTTAACTGCCTACCCTCGTGCCGGCAAGTCCCTTGTGACGCAACGGTAGTTCCCGGTAGAACGCAGCTGACGAGCAAACTTGGTTGAGGATATCCCAGTTCAGGATTTAGGGTTCGGGGTTTAGGGTTTAGGGCTTTAGAGCAGACGACGTAATTTTAAAGAGGAGTGCAGATTCAGGGATGCGGGGTTCAAGGTTTACTAACCCAAGGATTCACGAGTAGAAACTTGGCTTATTCATTTGGCTTCGGAGGTAGAGTCGTCGTTGTTACCATACCTGTGATTGATTTCGTTACCGTATTTGTGCTTGTTATTGTTGTTGTTGTTGTTGTTGTCGTTGTTGATGGTGGTGGTAGTGGTGGTGGTGGTGGTGGTGGTGGTGGTGGTGGTGTGGTGGTGGTGGTCGTGTTCCTGCTGCTGCTGTTGCCTTTGCCCTGGTAGGAGTAATTGCAACCCGTGAGTGTGTAGGAAAAACTAATTTCGGGGCTCTTCAAGATCAACAGGACCTGCAGATTTCCGGCCAGTGGCATAGTGTTGCAAGTAGACCGGTACTCGGACAGCATGTCTGACACACACTGTGGCAAGCTGCAGCGGGATAGCGGCGAGATGTACTCATGTGAACTCACTCCGGCAGTCCTGTCGAATCTTTTGCATGTGGCAATGCGGTTCGCTTGAAATAATATGGTATGCTTGAACTAGAACCATCACGACACTCTTCATCATAACAGAATGTGACAAGAACATTGTAAGTATGGTCCAATATGGTAGTTTTGATACACTATGCCATGTTATGTTGCAGCCTTGAACAAGGCAGTATACTACACTCGTAGCTGGTAGAACATGGCAGGCTGTAGCACTGCATGCTTCTATGAAGCCATATCATATCATGCATGATCAATAGCATGTCGTGTCATATGATTCCATATCACTTCACTGCATATGACGACTCAACATCATACCACATAACATAATGATAGCACCCCATAGGATTGGAGTATATGTGCCTCATTTTGCACACATACCCTAAGGGCCCATGTACTCATATAGTATATACATTGGCCTTAAAGTACTCCCTATGTAGGTACATTGGGTGGGCCCAAAGTATATGCGATATGGATACATGGACCCTTAGGGTTAATTAAACTTAAAAAGCCTAAACCCTCAAATCCCAAGCTAGAGTCTCTAACCTTACATCCTAGACCCCAATTAAAACCCTTCGGGATACGCAAAAGCAAGACGCCATTTCGACATCTCATTGAAGCGACAGCCCTCGAGGGAGCCGCCTGGGAACACCGCGTCTGAAGCCAAGCCGGTGAGATTGCTCTATCCTCGCAGCCTGAGGGGGGTTAGGGGGGCGGGGGTACTTAAAGGATCATGTTCCTTAAAGGCATCTATGGGGTTCCTTAAGGGGTCTATGGGGTTTAGGGTTTAGGGTATACTTGGAGGGTCGGGGGACTTAGTAACTGGTTATTTTAAGGACTTATAAGTACCATAACCCTAATTAGGGTCCCTTTTAGGGTACTTATTTGTCTACTTACTACCTACTTACTAACCCTTATTTTCAGGGACCATGTAACAAGGATCCTACTATTCAGGGTACTATATTAGGGTCCCCGTTTATTACGTTGGGTACGGCCCCCACTCAGTAACAGTTGGATAATATTCATAATATAGAGATATAACGACCTTAGTAGTAGCCCGAATATAGACTGTTACTGTATGGGGGCCGTTCCCAATTCGTTCGATTTGTCTTTAGGTTTCAACTTCAAGAAACAATCAAGGCTGATGTCGGGTTAAGGGGCTTCTAGAGTTCTAGAGGAGGTCGGGCTTTGGTAGCTGGTTCGGTTTGTCTAGCTCTGCATTGGGCCTGCATGTTACCCTGTTGCGCACATACCAGAGATAAACATGTGCGTGGATACGTGCATATCTATGTTTCTGTTTGTTTCTCTCGGTCTGCCTGGTTGTGCATGTAATGGTGCGCATGACGAAAGCACACACATGCTTCGAGGAGGTGTTAGCAAGTTTCGCTCATAAGCAATGAGCATGTATTGTCTGTATCCCTAAACCCGAACCCCGTAAAACCCAAGCCCTAAGATCTATCCCCAAAAACTTACTCTAGCCCAACCCCTAAACCCCTAAACCCGAAACCCTAAACTCTAACCCCAAAGCCCCAAAGCCCCAAACCCTAAACCCTAAAGCCTTAAACCCTAAGCCCTACATCCTCCACTCTGGCCCTAAAGCCCTAAACCGGCAAGGCCACAAAATTTTCCCGACGACCCCCAAGGCCCAGTGGCTGTACTTGGAGGATCAGGGGACTTAGTAAGTTAGGGTTTAGGGTTTAGGGTTTAGGGTAGGTTACAAGTACCCTAATTGGGGTCATAAGTAAATATAAGTACCGTTGTCTTAGCTTTAGAAACCTAGTTACTAAGTCCCATGATCCTTGAAGTATCATAGAACTTCAGAGATTCCAATATCCCGTTAGTAAGTGCAGATGCCTTACATGATGGGGGATTATCGGGGCTTTAATGTTACTTGAAGGCTCATGGGACTTAGTAAGTAAGGTTATAAGTAGGTTATAATTAGGATAACCCCACATAGGGGACTTATAACCCCACTTATAACCTACTTACTAAGTCCCATGATCCTCTAAGTATGGTTTAAGGTATAGTATAGGGGGCCAGAGATCCTTATCCCTTGACTAGGGAATATTCCGTAAACTATAGGGGCCTTAATATTACGGTTTGAGGTATATTCCTTAAGTTAATGGGTATCGGATCTTTGGGACCTTTCTGCAGCCCTTACAGTAAGCCATATGTTGAATCATAGGGACCCCTAAGGGGGTAGGGGGAGGGGGGAAAGGGGGCCTTAATGCCCATAACAAGGACCTAATAAGACCAATTTAAGGAACTATAGTCCCCTACAGCCCTTCCCGTTCCCCCCCTAAGAGTCCCTATGATTCAAAGGAACCCTAATAACCCAGAGATCCCAATACCACTTAATTCAGGAATATACATGAAACCATCAAAATAAAGGCCCCTATAATTTGGGCCTATTCCCTAATTTAAGGTATATAGGGATCATTAAACCATAAGAATAAAGGCCCCTATAATTTAAGGCATATTCCCCAATTACGGGATATAGGGATCTCTGGGAACTATTATGCAGCCGAGGCCTACTTGGCCTTTCCGACGAATAAGCCCAGAATCCACACCGTCATCTCTCACTATCGCGCCAGTGTGGTGGGGGACGCAGCACCGGGAGAGTCCAAATGCGGAAGTACTCTATATATATATATATGTATATGTATATATGTATACTAGGTTCCTGAGTAGTACCCTTTTGCCCTTTCATTTTAGGATCTCCTTGTGAAACCTGAACATTAGGAAAAAGGGTACCCTTTCTATTAGCGGCTTACGGAGCAACAGGGTGTTTATATACATATATATGCATATATATATATATATACATGTGTGTGTACTATTGTATGCCTCCAATAATTAAACTAGGTTCCCCAGTATTACCCCTCTATACTTCTTCTTTTTATGTTCCCTTATTCAAACAAAACAGTAGGAAAAGAGGATAGCTTTACTTACTAAGGGCTTACTGGGGAGCCTAGGAAAATTCCTTAAATCATTTTGGGGAACCCTGTTATGATTTGAGGAATATTCCATAATTAAGGGGTATTGGAGTCTCTGGGAGGTTCCTAGTTAAAGGATCATGGGACTTAGTAACTGGGGTTATAGTTAGGGCAACTGTACTCATAACCCCACTTAAGGTACTTGTAACCTTGCTTACTAAGTCCCATGATCCTCCCAGTAGGCTACTCTGAGTGGTTTTGGGAATCTCAAGCCGTGATGTTGGGGTAGGTCGTCCCTGAAGGCTTCCTTGAAGGGTACCTTTTGAAGCTTCCTGTAAGAGTTTCCTCTTTGAAGGGCTCTGGGGGGGCAGAAAATTAGGATTTACGGATCCCTTTTTAGGGGTCTCTTTAAAGGTGGGTCTTAGTTTAGGGTTCCTTTGGGGTTCGTTTGCAAGGGGATCCCTTGGGTCCTTACGGGCAGGGATGCATCGTTTTGAACCTGGATTTTTGGGGCGCGCTTCATCCGATGATAGAGGATCCTTTGATGCCCTCCCTCGTCTGGTGTTTAGCTTGCTCAATGTGAATCGCATTCAACAAGCAGGAGGGTCTTGGTAGATCTGAAGCCCGCCTTTTCAGACCGTTTCCATGACTTTCGATGCAGAAAGCTAAACCCTCGGAAGGAGAGGAAACCGGACGCGGACAAAAACCCACTTGCAGTTAGCAGACTTTGCGTTCCATTCTTTCACTATGACTTACCCAAAGTACTAGGCTAGCAGAATATCAAGCACCTGTAGCAAATACCATGCCCCAAGATTTCTGAGATTCAGAACATCCAAGACACTGACGAGCAGTGCCCGCCTGCAATTGCACGGTTCTACTACAACTACCATTCATTAGCACTCAGCTTGTCCTTTAAGTTTTCCAAGCCTTAGAGCCGTGAAGACCAGCAAAGCCACGATCTTTGGGGTGAGAGGCTCTTGCATGTCGCTTGCCATCGCAGTTTGCTGTATTCGTTGACGCAGTAGGTTCACAGAGCACGATGTTCCCCCCTGTGCAGACTTTGCATACTGTATATTGCAGGCATGTTGTAGGCCTGAGTCATCTATCTTGGTGGTCTGCCATCTAGTCCATCCTCATGCAACGTCCATAGTACAAAGCCCGCTTTTGTAATGACATGTGCTGGATCATATAATCTGGTATCTTGCACATGCTGTTAATACTAGCTGACACTTCTCCTCTACTCAAGCAGAGCATCCTGCCAAGCTAAAAGAGATCACGAAAGCCCAGTGCACTCGGTAGTCCCCAGATAAAGCAGCTTGTGATCGACGTTGCGACTTTTGCGCCATGGCCCTACCCTTCGGATTTACGCCTTTGGAGGTGCGGGGTTCAGGGATTTTCGGGCGTCGAGGGGTTCCGGCCTATCTTCCTGGGGTTTAGAACTTATTGTTTCGAGTTTGAAGGGTTGAGGCACTTGGGGTTAAGGGATTGTTGGATTTAGGGTTGAGGAGTCCCACAGCTCTTGATAAGTCTGGCTATGCTGCTGAAAAAGTCGGTTCTGCGTTCCTTCCGAAACATCTGTTCTTCTGAAATCAGCCTGAACCTTGCAACCCTGCGGCACAAATTTGAACCCCAAGCCCTTAAACCCAGAACCCCAGAACCCCTAAACCCAAACCCCAAACCCCTGAAACCTACACCCTATAGATCCCTTCCAGGAGCCCTTTAAGGAGCCCTTCAAGAAACCCTTTAGGGAACCTACCGGCAGGCGCAGACCTACTTGATCCTGACCATCTGCTGGGTCAGCTGCTCGCCAGAACATCTGCGCGGGTGAGGGTTTATTTAGGGTACTGGGTTTAGGAACCTACCTAGTCTTAGTAGCTGAGTGGATGCACTTTACACTTTTTGGGATAATATTACCCACTATAAAACCAAAAGTGTGCACTTTTGGGGGGCTTATGAACTCAGCTACTAAGTAATTAGGCTCTAAAGCGCCAAGGTATCGTGGTGGTGAACCAGCTCGAGCAGCCCTATGCGAGGCGCCGAAAGCTGAATAGCGGCTTCCTCGTCGAGGACACGACTCTACACAGAACCTTCGATATCCCTGAATTAAGGACTTCTGTAATTCCTTAAACCCCCCAGAACTTACTTCTTTTGTAGGATCCCTTTCAATTCAATGCCAGGATGTATACTAAGAACCTAAAAAAAGTAGGTCTTGTTGGGTTAAGGCCTGCCTTAAATTATTGCCGGATACATAATATATATATATATATATATATATGTATATATATATATATATATATGTATATATATATATATATATGATTTAAGGTATGCTCCTCAACTAAGGGATATTGGAAGGTCTGGGTAGCAACAGTATCCCCTCATAATAGCTCTACTGAGGCAATACATGTATTTGCGGGTTCCCGATCGCCCGAAATAGGTATCCCTAAGGCTTTAATGTACCTTTATAGTAGATACTTAATCCTTAAAGGGGTCCCTATATAGGTACTTTAGGGCCTAAGTATGTACTATATGGGCACATGGAGCCTTAGGGTATTGCTTTACAGACTTTAGACCCCAAGGTAGGCATTTTTGGTATATTGGAGTCTTAGGGATGTGTGCGAGGTGTCTAGCCCTTGGTCCCAAACCCTGGCACTATACCTTAAGCCCCCAATCCTACACCCTAGGCCCCAAGCTTCGAAACCCTAAGCCCTCAGCATAGGGTTCAGGGTTTTGGATTGTAATCATAGGGCTAAACCCAAAACTTCAAGATCAAAGCCTAAACTTCGAGATCCTATAAGCCCTTGGTGAAGCAATTCGCAGCCTCCTCCCCCTAAGCCCCTAAACCCTCAACCCTGAACCCTGAACCCTAAACCATGTCCTAAGCCTTGAGCCCTTGAGCCATGAAGAATGAAGCCGGATAGCCCAGGTCCACATTTCTTTCTGAAGTCTTTGGGTTCAGGGTTTAAGGGCAGGGTTTAGGGGTTTCGCGTCTTGGGTTCATGGTTTAAGGCAGGTTTAGAGTCTAGTTAGGATGCATCGAGTAGGCCCTAAGATAGTTAGGGAGCTTAGCTTAAGGACAAGCGTGACATGGAAGGCAGGCGGTCGAGCGGACGGCTACCCTCAGCACTGGCTCCGCAACCAAAGTCTAGCCGAAAGGAAAGATTACCTTTCACTTCCAGACCAGGAAACGGACGCAGCGGGCAGTTCCAGTCTGTCTGCTGGATCCTTGTCGCGTTATCAATCCCTAAGGGTCCATGTACCCAAACAGTACATACTTGGGCCTTCAAGTAGTCCCGTAGTCCCTATAAAGGCACTTTGGGGCTAAAGTATCTACTATTTGGGTGGTTGTCAAAATTATGGCCCCTTTTTGGGTACCCTAAATAATAGGTTCCGTACTATAATAGGGACCCAAAAAGGGAGCCTAATTTTGACAACCACCTATTGGGGTACGTGGACCCTTTGGGAATAACCTTACAGCAGCGGCAATCTTTGGGCCGCTCTCCGAGATCCTGATTACGCCCCGAAGGAGCAACGCAGAAAGTTTGAAGTGCAGCAATGTGGGCACCTGATCAAGAAACTCGGGGACTATAACCCCAATATACTAAGAACCATTTTCAGAACCCTAGTAAGGACCCAAGGTTTCTTAATCAGGTTCCTGCATTAGTCTTCTGGTGTCGCATGACATGCGAAGTGTGCTACTCCGGCTCGTGCAGCGACACTTTAATTACGTACCGCAGGCCGCAGACACGGTGCATAAGCCTCCTTGCCGCCTTTGTTGGAACGCAGTGTGAGCTGTGCTGGGCCGCAGCACATTGATCCCGATCATTACTTGGGGATTCTCCCTATCTTTGTCGTCATTGTCAACAGCATGACCGTCATTGTCAACAGCAGAATCGGCTTCGTCTTGATCATGACACCATGAGTAGATATCGTCGTCAGAAGGGACAACTGCCTGGACTCGTCGTCAGCATGTTAAGAGCCCCCCAATCCCGCTATCCAAGCCCAGAAAAAGCGCCCCAATCCCAATGTTTCAGCACCATGCCCTCCGCAAGCCCTTACCTAACCCCCCCCCCCCCCAAAGTAGGTAACATAACGGCCCAAGACCTTTTAAAAAAGGCCATTATTCTACATACTTGTGCGGTCCAGGTAATTGAATATGAAAAACCTTATCTACGAAACCTCAGGCTTAGTAAGTAAGGTTATATATACCTTAATAGGAAGTATAAGTACTTATAAGTCTAGTTACCTTACTTATTACCTTAGTTACTAAGTCCCGAAGGCTCCATGTACCCATATAGTAGGTACTTAGGCCGTAAAGTGCCCATGTAGGGACCCCTTTAAGGCCTAAGTACCTACTAAAAGGGTACATGGAGTCTTTGGGAGTGCCATGATCCTTTAAGTATTAAACCAGGCTTAGCCATGAGCCCATTGCAGGTCACTCGTGCAGTGCGACGTCCCCGTCAACACGACTGAAGGCTCCTGCGGCTTTATGTGCCAAAGGGTCCTACTGTTGATGGACAAAATCCTGCATTACCCATTATGAGGAAAATACCATAATTCCCATAGTTTAGAGTCCTTAGGGTGGATTTTGTCCATCAGCAGTATGTACTTTAATGGGGGATACTTCAATAAGTCATAATAGTAATTTCTAATATGGAAACCCTAGAATCTACTATATCGGTACATAGGACCCTTTTGGTATGCAGGGTGATCAAACCAATATGGTATGGGGGCTTTAATGAGAATAAGTAGAGGGGCTTTTTGGTTCCTCTCACTTTTTCTACTATACGGGCTAATTGCACATAGGGCTTATAGTAAAGGTAGCAGCATACTTGGAACTTTTGTCGCTTGGAGTATACTTTGAGAAGGAAGCCCGAGGAAAACCCTAACACTATAACCCTAAGGGTCCAGGTACCCATATAGCATATACTTTGGGCCCAATGTACCTACAGAGGGAGTACTTTAAGGCCAATGTATATACTATATGAGTACATGGACGCTTAGGGCAATGCTTCTGCATTGGACTTTTGAACCCTAACACCTCGGTGCCCCGAGGTCAACACGCGAAACGTCGAAACCCTAAGTGCAGCAAGATGGGTGGCCTAAACGAGTATTGGTGCAGCAACGTACGTTACGGTTGATGATATAAATCCTGCATTATCCATAATAAGGAATATACCATAATTCCCGTAGTTCAGGGTCCTTAAAGTAATGCAGGATTGATATCATCAACAGTAGCACTGCCAGTAATGGTGCCACCAACTATAATGATTAATTAATATTTTCCGCAGCAAAACTATTCTACCGACATCTGCTGCTGAAGCTGGAAAGAGTTTCCTTCTTTAGATGGTGTAGCTATAGTAACCCTTCTAGAACCCTTCTTAACTACAGGAATCCTATATATAATCCCAAAGGGTCCTGGGTACTGTTATGGGATATACTTCCCCAGGTCAGACTAGCAATTTCTAAAATGGAAACCCTACCCTCACCTCAATCCAAACCCCTAAACCCTAAACCCCCAAACCCCTCAACCCTAAATCCTAAAGGTACTTTGGACCCTTTGGGAAACCTCGGGTCGTCAGGGCCCTTGACTGGATGCAGGTGCCGAGTTTTCCGGATCGCAGTACTGCGGGCACCGGCTTCACGTGATTGGCTCCCCAGCTTAATCTGATCCAAGGGTTCAGGGTTACCCTAGGGATCAAAATAGCCCAAAAGCCTTAGATGGTATGGTCTTTGGGTTTAAAGGCCTTAATGTATCAGTCCTTAGATCCCAAGGGTTATAGTTCCGGATTGTTTTGGGTTTAAGGTGTCAGTTGTTAGGGCCGGCACATGGACTGGCTACAGTAATACTTAGGCTCTTGGGTTTAGGGGTGCCTGTAGGTTCACCTTTGCTTGTTTAGGAGATCAGCTCTCGATTTTAGGGTTTAGGGTTTAGGGTTTTTGACTGACGAGCGCAAGAACGAACAGAACAGAGAAGGAAAGATGTGCAAAGTGTGTTAGGTCTCCTTCCGTGCATGTGGACGGTGTAGTCTGGTCAGGGTTAAGCACACTCTGCTGGCACCTAGCATGATGGTGGTTGCAGCTGAATAAACACCAAGCCAGGTGCAGAACTGCAAACACAAAAACTCAAGTCAACATTGGGTTTCAACCCGGAGATTAAGAGGCCTGTGCCCCTAATCCATATAATACCAACCATAAACCCTAATATTCGTGTCAGTTCAGTAGATGGAGTTTTTTGGGTGGGAGTTCGAGCAAACAGGGACACGAAGACAGACCAGAAGGATCCTCAGGATAGTCATGTATATTCTTCCTCTTGTCAATCCCTGTGGCTCCAAATAGCCCAAAGTAGGTATTATTTATAGACTTTAGACCCCAAAGTAGGTGCTATTTGTATACTTGGAGCCCCAGGGAATAGTGATGCCGTTTTTATTCGCAATTTGCCACAATATGTGAACGGCGGCTTGCAGGAAGGCCTACACGGGGAATTTCAACCACCGAAGCCCCAACCGTGAAAACCACCAGCCGCAACCTTTCCAAATGAAAGCCCTAAGCCTCCCTTACGGGTCCCAAGCACCCAAGAATTAGATACCTGGGTTAAGGAGAGTGGTTTTGTATAGGTTAGTGTCTCGGAGCGTATATGATTATTTGGTACTTTGGACCCTAAGGGAACCTAAACCCATAGACCCCAGAATCCTAAACCCCAAACCTTTCTTTCCTAGACCCCCCAACTATCCTTTGTTGTAGCCCCTACATCATTACCTCTTAATGAGAAATCAGAGCCCTTAAAAGGGTACTTGGGGGGGGGTCCTGGCATACCTTCCACCTTCAAGCCCTGAGTCTATAGATACTTAAGCCGAAAGCCTTGCACGCTTGCATTCGGCACCCTACAACCCTAAACACCCACATAAGACGCCTATTAAGCCTTACGAAACCCTTGCACAAGCTCTCAGAGCAACACTGCAAAGCATGCAAAACACATGAAAATAGCAACTGGAGCCGGCACTTTAAAGCAGGCCCTAAACCCCAAACCCCTAAACCCCAAATCCTAAAACCGAAACCCAAAACTCAAAACCGCAAACCCGAAACCCTAAACCCCTAAACTCCAAACTCTAAACTCCAAACCCTAAACTCAGTAGTTAGGAAAAAGGAGTTCAAAAAAAAAACCCTAAACTCCAAACCTTGAAGCCGAAGTCACGCACTGCTTAGGCGCAGGGGCAGAGATCTCCGGATGGGGGCAGAGCCTGGAGAACGTGCCACGGCTTCACTGGCCTTTGAGTTTATCTAGGGGCTCCAGTCACCTAACCCGAAGGGTTCAAAGTACCTTTATAGTAGAATGTAGGTTTTCTATATTAGGAATTACAGAAGTATCCCCCATAACAGTACCTAGGACCCTTTGGGTAAATATTGGGTTCTCTGGCTATCTTCTATATGGTTAGTAACCTACTATTTGGGTAACTGGAGCGTTAGGTTTAATTGGCAGTGACATCCCCTTCTAGTTCCAGTCGAGATATACTATTGTGCATATAACTAGTGCACTCCTAAACCCGACGTATAAGGACAAGCATACAATAAGATATATCTGTGCCACACTGCACCTCAACACCCTACTCTAGGTGCCACTTCTTCAAGGGAGGGCGCCTCGTGATAGATCCCTCGCGCATCTTTGTGGAAAGGCTTGCAGCCTACAGCGGCGGACCACTTGTAATCTGAGTCTTCATCAATAGAACAGGGTTTCCCTAAACCCTAAACCCTAAACCGTGAATTACACGGGTATATGATGCTGTAAGCAGACAGGGACTACAGGGGGATCCTGGTAAGACTAAAGCCTCCATATTACCCAAAGGGTCCAAAGTACCTATACAGTAGACGTTAGGGTTTCTATATTAGGAATTACCTGTATGATTTGCGGTACTATATCCCATAACAATACCTAGGACCCTTCGGGTTTGATCCCAGCGAAATGGAGACCAACCCCAGGTGGGCCGTGTCGCGATCACTCTGCTGCTGGCCTTTGATCGATTTCTCGGGTTTAGGGTGTTTAGGGTTTGCATATTACGGCCCGGTGAAGAGAGATTTGCGCACGTGCACTCTAGCAGCCCAACGTTGGAAACTCAATAGCCTCAATCCTTGCGAGTAATGTAGAGGGATTTCCAGCACTATTTGTCCTTAGCCCGATTTCCAACTTTAAGGGGTTTACTGTAAACCCAAAGCCCTAAACCCCAAAAACCTAACAAACCCGAAACCCCAACCCTAAACCCCTGAAGCCCAGGCTTTATGGAGTCTTAGTAGCTGCGTGGATACACTTTACACTTTTTTGGGATATTATTACCCACTATAAACCTAAAGCTGTACACTTTTGGGGGCTTATGAACTCAGCAACTAAGGAGTTTACTGTATGTGTCAGGGTTTCTACGGTTTTAGGGCCGAAGACTTCTAGCGCTTCCGGGTTCCAGGGTGCTGCTGGGCATTAAGGGATCCTTTAAGCGGTTCCTTCTTTGAGGTTCCTGTGAGGGTTTAGGATTCAGGGTTTAGGGTTTCTTTGAGGTTCCCTTGAGGGATCCTTGAAGAAATCCTTTAAGGGATTTGTTAAGGTCTTGTTCTTCCTTTGAGGGATCCTTCAAGGGGTCCATTGAACGGATTGTTTTGGTGGCCTAGGGGTTGGACTAGAGGTTAGGTCCTTAAGTACCCAAAGGACTCCAAGACCACAACCAGTACCTACTTTGGGGCTGAGAGCCTGTAAGCACGACCTGCCTTGACCGATTTGAAGACTTTGGGAGTTGATGATGAAACCCTAAACCCTAAACCCTAAACCCTAAACCGTTCACGGCGAAGAAGAAGAAACTTCAATGCCCGGTGCGCGGGTGGTGCCTTCGGCACCGTAGAACCCTTGATCCCCCACCGGGGCAGCAAGCGGTGCCACGAGCTGCGACGACAGCTGCAGCAGCAACAGACCTCCCTAAGGCTCCATGTGGGAGTTTCCGAAAATAGGGGACCCTAATATAGTACCCTAAATAGTAGGATCCTTATTATAAGCAACCCAAAATAAGGTACTCCCAATTTTCGGAAACTCCCATGTACCTTCATAGTAGATACTTAAGCCTCAAAGGGGTCTCTATATAGAAGGGAATGGGGGAATCGATTATGGAGACTATTCTTGGGAATTATATAGGGGCTACTATAGCGATCCATTCCCCAATTCCCTACTAAGAACCAGACAGTCGTCCGCACTGATGGGTGAAGGCTTAGGAGTCCTGCGCCGAACAACATACGCCCCCAACCCCACCTAAAGCACCAACGCCTTAAGACACAAGAAAGGTTTGTTAGTGGCTTCGCCGACTACGGGCGCAAACGCGCAGCCCCTCGCCGGCATTGTCGGTTGTAGAGTGCTAAAACTGTGTTTCTGCGGGTTCGGGTTTTGAGAGACCATCGCAGACCTCTTTCCAGCATGGCTGCTTTGCGGTCTTAGTGCTGGGCAAGGAATATGACTCGACACTAGAGGGGTCTGGTCCTACATGAAAGTATTACGAACCTTGGTTGATAGTTCTGATAGTGCCGAAAGGCTACTTCTAAACCCCAGCCATCTCCTACCCTCACATGGTGTAGATTTGAGGTTTGAGCGTTTATGTTTAGGGTTCAACGCGCAGTGAGCTTAAGGTTTATAACATGGTTTTGGGGTTTCAGATTGAACTTGCAAGGTGTCAAGCTGTCGGAGCGAGTGCTTGAAATCCTTCGACCCGGCACTTGAGGATTTAGGTCCTAGGCCCAAAATCCTACACCCTAAACCTGAAAACCCCAAACCCTGTTCAGGGCGCCTCACCCCCTAAACCCCCCTAGAACCCACGCCCTGCCACCCTAAGCCCCTCTGCCCTCAATCCGTAACCCTCAACCTGCAAGCCTAAGCCCCTAGCCTATCCAGGCCCTTGTCGGTCAGTTTCTGATCACGATGTCCACAGTCCTGCTCTTTGCCTGCAGACAGAAACGGAATTCCAGCACGGACTAGGGGGATAGTCCCTGGTTTTGAGTGTCTGGGAGCCATACAACCCTGTTCTAGTCATTGAGGACCTCCTTGTTGGTCGCATCATAACAGGTGTCATATCATATCAGTATGAAATGATTAGTCTGTCTCGGGTTTGGCGCTGCATCCACATTCCTCGGCCCATTATACTATAGTTCGTGCTTCATTGCTTTTGTGTTATTCATCTTGTCGTGTACTGAGTTATGCTGTATTGCTTTAACATGATCTGGAGTTGCCGTTGTTGATTGTTGTCTTGCTGCTTTCAGGTAGACTTCGGTAGAGTATGTTATTCAATGTTGAATTGTATGTTTCTGCATGCTATGGTTTCGTATCAGGTTAAACTGTTTTTAGTTACTCTATGCTATTTGTGCGATAGCATTCTTGAAAACAAGGTACCATTGTATCATACGGTGCGGTACTGTATTGAATGCACAATAAACACAGACATGCATATACATGTTTGTATATATATATATATATATATATATATATATATATATATATGTGGTATACGTATATGTATGTATACACATACATACATACATACATACATACATACATACACATGTATCATACTATAGTGCATTGACTTGCAAGTATGTTGTCTGCCGTAATCTTGTGTTGCTCTATGACAGTCAAGTATAATTTGCTATTGGATGCTATGCGATTTATGCTATGCCGTGCCATGGCATGTTATGGTGTGTTGCATTGTGTTAAGTCTGGTATTCTGCTATCCGACACTATGATATGTTATGTCATTCCATGCCACGTTACTGCTTGTTTATGCTGTGTTATGTTATGCTATGTTGTGTGTTATGGTTTAATGTGATGCTGTGGTATGCTACCATGCATTATATTATGCTGGGTTATGATATGGGTCGTTGTCAAAATTAGGATGCCTTTTTGGCTCCTTAATATAGTACGATACCCATTGTTTAGGGTACCCAAAAAGGGACCCTAATTTTGACCACTACCCATGTACCAACAGATTGTTCAATATGTCATGCCAGTTTTGGTTGTACTGGGCGATATCATAGCAACAGCGAAGGTTTGCGATGGCCCAGTTTCTACCAGCAAGCTGCTTGGGAGCACTCTTTTGTGGGCTTCGTCCACGTCTCATCGAGGGTTCAGGGTTTAGGGTGCAGGGTTTAGAGTTTACGGTATAGGGTTCGGGGTTTAGGGCGCAGACTAGTATTTCAGGTTGAAGCTGCAGGCAACATGTCTCCAACTGCAACTGCAAGCATCACACTGAAGCTTCCAGTTACGAAGGTGCCTCGAGCCCTCAGAAACCCACACTCAGGGCGGGTAGGGTTTATAGGGTTTTGATTTTAAGGCTTAGGGTTCAGGGTGCATCGTTCTGTAAGCTTCAAGGTACAGGGTTTACAGGGGTTGCGAAGCCCAGAATGCAGACAGTGAACTCACCCTTGCGAGTATGGCAAGCCAAGCTCGAATACAGGGCCGGAGGACTTTAGTTTAGTAATCCCACTATTTGGGGGTTCCTGACCATAAGCCCCAGGGTCCATGTACCCAAATAGTATATGCACTGGCCCCAAAGTACTTATATAGGGACTACTTGAAGGCCTAAGTACCTGCTATTTCGGCACATGGACCTTAGGATACGTATACGAGAATTTTGACACGAAGCCGTATTCAAATCACTCAGGGCCTTAAATCATCCGAAGCCCAATTAAGCCCGGAACTTAAGCAGATGCGCCCCACATGAACCAGGACCCGCAAACCGCAAGGACAAAGCCTCAAGCCCCCTGAGTCGTTTAAGCAACTGAACATTCGGGGGTTTCCGAAAAGAGGGGACCCGAATATAGTAGCATCCTTATTATAAGGACCCCAACAAAGGTACCCCTAATTTTCGGAAACTCCCATTTGAGCACTGACGACAGCCTTGTGAACACGGGATATTAAGCGGGCTTGGGGTTCGCCCTAAGCTCTGAAATGAAAACGTCAGGTCTTGGAATCCCGACCTACATCATCGCGCAAGGGCTACAGGGAATGATCCCTGACTTACAGATTGTCGTACTTGATTGCGGTCCGCTTAGGGTTCCGAGTTGTTAAGTTAAGGGGTTGGTTTCCAATTATAGTGTTTAAGGTGCAGAATTCAGAAGCTTCGGATGACTGAGTTGTGAACATCGCTGCCATTTGCCAGCTGAGCATCCTTTTTGCATCGCTCTGGGATTGTGTGGTTTTCAAGTTAGCTTGGGTTCCCCACTAGCACCCCGCTGCCCATTTGTTTCGGGGCCTTTATGTTGGTGGGGAACCTAGGTGTCAAGTTAGTGGCTTTTTGTGTAGGATTTGGGATTTCGGCTGTGAAGGTTTGTAGCGTAGACTCGGTATTGCATCTCTCTGCGGAATAACCCTAAACCCTAAACCCCTAAATCCTAAACCCTAAACCCCACCCCGTTTGCGGTGGAATCAGGAGCAAACCTTCTATCTCTTGCTTGTAGATAATCGCCTTCAATTCTGCTGTGCTCGACATGCCTGCTGTTTCATGCAGAAGCCTGTTGGGTAGTTGTCAAAATTAGGGTCCCTTTTCGGGTCCCTATTATGGTACGGCACTTGTTATTTAGGGTACCCAAAAAGGGACCATAATTTTGACAACCACCCTGTTAAGTGCCTATATTATCTTAGGGTTCCCAAGAATAATGTATATACATACCGTTGATGATATAAATCCTGCACTACCTCAAGGACCCTAGACTATGCGAATTACGGCATATTCCTTACTATGGGTCATGCAGGATTCATATCCTCAACCGTATGTTGTATACACACACAACCATGTACCCCGAAACCCGGTTGCAGATACTAACCCTAGGGATCTAAGGACTCATATATTTAGGCTTTTGGGCCCAAAGACCATACTATATAAGGCTTTGGGGCTGCTTTGATCCCTAGGGGTAAGGCGCCTGCATGAGGTCACTCGAATTGTTTTTAATGAGAGGCGAGGCATTGAGTTTACCTATGGTCTCCTTTGTAGTTCCTTGTTTTGGCTTTCCAGTTTTATGGTTAGGATCCTATAATGGGGATTTTGGTTAACCAAAAAATGGAACTACAATGGAAACTCTAGGTAGGGTGTCTCGGGTTGGAATAACAGTCCTTTCCATCAACTTCTAGACCATGGAACCCTGAACCCAAACTTTTTCAACCCCTGAACCCTAAACCCTACATGCTTAAGCCTAAACCCTAAACCCTACATGCTTAAGCCTAAACCCTAAACCCTACCCGCCTAAGCCTTCATCGCTTAGACGTTACATCGGAAACCCCCCCTGACACTGACGCCTGGACTAGGACCATGAACTATGAACCATGTGTGAGTTTCAGAAAAATAGGAGACCTTCATATAGTTTCCTAAATAGTAGGATCCTTGTAATAAGGATCCCAAAAGGTGCCCCTAAATTTTCGGAAACTCCTTTAACTCAAAACCCTTTATAGAACCCTTATAGGAACCCTTATAGGATTCCTTTAAAGGTACCCCCCACCCCCAACATTTTCGGAAGTACCTGCGAGGAGTGGCATTGGCATCCTTGACCAGTGCCTTGGCAGACATCCTCGCAGCCTGAGGGGGGTTAGGGGGGACGGGGTACTTAAAGGATCATGGGACTTAGTAACTGGGGGCTTAGGGTCCCTTTAAGGGATCTATAGGGATACTATAAGGGTTTAGGTAGGGTTTAGAGTACTTAAAGGATCATGTTCCTTAAAGGGAGGGGGTACTCATAGGGACCCTTAGGGGGGGGGGGTACGGGGGTAGGGGAGTATACTTCCTTAAAGGGATCTATGGGGTTTAGGGTTTAGGGCTCTTACTTGGAGGGTCGGCGGACTTAGAAACTGGTTATTTTAAGGACTTATAAGTACCATACCCCAATTAGGGTCCCTTTCAGGGTACTTATAAGTCTACTGACTACCTACTTTCTAAGTCCCCCGACCCTCCAGGTTAGGGGGAGGGGGTATATTTGAAGGTTCATGGGACTTACGTAGGAACTGGGGTTATAATTAGGGTAACCATACTTATAACCCCAGTTCAGGCACTTATAACCTTACTTACTAAGTCCCATGATCCTCCAGGGGGCCTCCTAACGGACCCTAAACCGCAATGCCCTCCTCCCCCCTACCCCCAAAGGGGTCCCCGTGATGGAATCACGCCGGAGTCCCCAAGCTTTCTCGTGAATACCGTTTAGGGTTTAGGGGTTGAGGGGTTTCGGTCTTAGGGGTTAGGGGTTTAGGGTTTAGGGGTTTCGGTTTTGGGGTCTCTTGTATACCTTCAACCCTAGAGGCGGTTATAGATTAGAGAAGTCAAAGAAAAGCTCTGCACCGTATGAAAAGTGATCTCTGTCGACAATGCTCGGGGATACGCATGAACCTGAATCCTAAACCCTAAACCGCTAAGCCTCCAAACCCTAAGCTCCGAGGGACTGTTTAAAAGGGTCTTCCGGGGGGGAGGGGGGGCTATTCCAATTTATAGTATCATATACCCCCCAAACCCTATCCTAATTATTAAGGCTCCTATATTATGTTTCCTCCACACTGAGGATCATCACGGGAGACGTTGCATTGCAGCTCAACGACACCGTGGCTTGGCTTCGCTGATTCTCTCCGCTCGGTTGTTCCCATGCCGGTTCGTGTCTCTATCTGTGCCTAAACCACTAAACCCTCAACACCCTACACCCTAAACCCTAAGCACCTTGAGCCTTGAGCCCGGGAACGCCCCGAAACGCGATCCTTCCCGAACTTATCAGGTGGCGGTCTATGGCCGGAAGCAGCTCTTTTCCACCATGATGTTCTTTAGCATCCTGGCAGGGTCTACTTGGAGTCTATAGGGCTCCTTAAAGGGATCTATAGGGTTCCTTAGATGGATCTATGGGGTTTAGTGTTTAGGGGCTACTTGGAGGATCAGGGGACTTAGTAAGTAAGGTTATACGTACCCTAATTGGGGTTATAAGTAATTATAGGTATAGTTACCTTATTTATAAGCC